TTTTTTTTTTTTTTTAAAGCTATGTTCTTCTCGCAATTTCACCTCACACAACCTACCTACCATTACTCCTAATTGTAGGCATACGGTAAACCCCGTAGCACTGTGCTTCCCCTCAGGTTCCCCTCCCCTACTAACATCAACAGACTCTGCTCAATGTCGATCGCCAATCGGGGGATCCAGTGGTCTATCTCGAGGTGGCGCGCGCCAAGCATGCCCAGGAAGGTACATGGGGCCAATGGGGATTGAACCCACGACCTCCTGAATGCCACTTGCGTGCCTTACCAAGGGGGGACAAATTCTCAGCCATATTCTTGGCCAGCGACACGTAATGGGAACCAAAAAAATAAATAAATAAAAAATGCCGACAACCGGCCCCAAGTCCCACTAGCAGCATTGAGCTTCGTCAACGCCTGAATCTGGACGTGTTTGTGGAAATAGGAGGTTTCGACCGTTGATCTTTGCTATCTACGGTCAGTATCTCTTAATTCGTGCAAGTGGGACCTACTGTAGCCCCGGTCATTATCGCTGAATCTGGACTGAAAGTTGGGCCAAATGCGGCTATAATGACCAGGCCTTCTATTCGGTGAAGACTATAGCCCTTCTTTGGCTGAGAACATTGAGAAGAAAAGGGCATGACAAACTGCCCCACATCACAACTACCATCTTCCCCCGAATATAACGCACCCTGAAAATGAACGTAGACAAGGTATGTTTCCGGGCGGATACAGGTAAAATGGAGTTGCATTGTGTTCCGGGGAAAACGGTAGTCAGTTTCAGAGAAGTCAATCAGAGGATCTAGATATCGTATATGGATATCAAGACCTTTTTTTTTTTTTTTTTTGAAAGGTAATCTATATTCTTGTCTCAATCTATTTCATCTTTCTTGGTAGTAGGCGTCTATCTCATCCTCTCACTAGTCTTATCATAGTACCGGGGAACAACAACCAACCCAAGATCTCTCCCCAGCCCACGGGGTAGGTTTGCACCACAGCTGTGGTGCGAGAGCAAGGCTGTACCAGTCCCTCGTCAGGGTGACGACGGGTGGGCAGGCATTGGTGCTAGCGCCCAGCAATGGCCAGTCACTGCACCTCCCCGTACCCCCCCCCAACCCCACATGGCCGTGTGTAATGGCCAATATTATCGCTGCATAGCAGCCAACAACATCAGCCAAGGTCCTGCCAATGCTGGCTTGTCTCAAACTGGAACTTTTTTTTATTTCGTTTTCTTTCTTTCTTTTTTTTTTTAGCTCGCCACCCAGAGGCTAAGTATGAAATGGCTTTTTTTTTTTTTCTTCTTTTTTTTGAGCTCGCGAACCAGAGCCTAAGTATCAAATGGCACTGACGAGCCCAGTCCTAGACCTGCGTCAACCCTCCTGCGTCGTTTCCAAACCTCCACCAGGGGGCAAGGCCCACTAGCACCGTTGAGCTACCTCAACGCCTGAATCTGGACGCTTTTGCGGAGATGTGCAGAAATGATGTTGCGTTTCCTGAACTGCACGCATCAACAAACACGTCCAGATTCAGGCGTTGACGTAGCTCAACGCTGCTAGTGGGACTTGACCCCAGGCCTCACATCCCCCAAAGGTTGGTTAAGAGGCGGCCCGTAAAATGTGGTATCAATACTAATAATACGGAGTAATTCTAATTGTCGTTTTTTTTTTTTTTTCGCGTCAGGGAGTTGAGGTAGATACTGTTCACTCCCCCCCCTCGCCCCCTCCTCCGATACACAAACAAAAAAAACAAGAAAAACGGGATTTGGCAGTGTGTGAACTCTCTCTCTCTCTCTCTCTCTCTCTCTCTCTCTCTCTCACACACACACACACACACGCTCTCTCTCTCTCTCTCTCTCTCTCACACACACACACACACACACACACAC